AATAATAATAATAATAATAATAATAATAATAATAATAATAATAATAATAATAAAGGTTACCAATGTCTCTCCTTGCTTTTAATAGTCTATATTAATTTAATAATTTAGTTGGTTCTTTAGTCTGTCATAATTCCTTTCCATTACACATTCTTTTTATACATTCTAGATTAATACAAATTTTTACACTAAAGTAAAAAAAAAGTATAGGTTCCCCCCTTTACTGCTTTGAGTGTGACACCTCAATGATTAAAATATACCTTTATTCCCTCATCTTGATTCCCAATAAACCATTTTTTAAGAAGTTACAATAATAATTATTACATCTTTTCATTTGGATTCTGCAGCATATTTCCCCCCCTTAAGTTTTAATAAAAGTTATCAGTATCTATATTACCCTATTTTCTAAATATTTTTAATTGCAGAAATATTCTTATTACCCCTTGTCACCCTGCAGAATCCCCTTTTTAATTCTTCAACCATTATCTGTGAAAAAACAATTTCTTTTCAACATTTTACTATTTCCGTATTTCTTTATTTCATGCACCCGTTTCTTACTGCTTCTCCTCTCCCTCTTTTCCCCATATCTTTTCTCATTCCAGTTTATATCCCTCTCTTTCTTAATATCTTCCTTTCCCCTTTTTCTGCTGGGTCTTTCTCCCTTTCCCGACTTCCCAGCTATTCCCCCTTTTGATTGCCTTCTTAAATCTCAACTTTTTAACCTTCCTTCTTTCCCCACTTCTTTGTAGTGTTCTTTGTGTTAATTGTCTATTTAAAATGTCTTCTCCTTGAGTCGACTCCTCCTCTGAAGCTCTTTCTTCTTGTTCTTCAATCGCCATTTCCATTGTTTCTAACACAGAGCAAAGTGATTCACCTCTTTCCTGTAGTAATTCTCTCATATTTTTAAGTTCCATTTTTAATTCCCGAAGAGAGATCATCATTACACACTCTTGTATTTTATGATTGTTAAAGTCCACAAAAAACCACTTTTGCTTTCCTTCTTTCTTCTTTCAATTTTCTAAAGTTCTCAGTTATTCCAGCCGAGGGTCTATACCAAAAACATCAATCAATCCCACAGTCAGTCTTTCCTTGCTTTTTTCTTTATTCTGGTTCTGCTTTCACTTTCTAAGATTCTTACTTTGTTTCAATATTTCTTTAGTGTTATATCCACACAAGTTCATTCAGAAACAGGATGCTTTCCCTTTTGTTTGAGCTCAAGTTTTTGTCAAAAGGTGGCACTCTCCATTATACAAAGTCTTCACCTTTTCCCCCTAATTTTTTTATTTAGGGTTTTTCGAACCTCAATATTCCAGCACAGTCCAGTCTCCAGTTTGTAAACTTTATTATTATTATTTTTTGACAATCTTAAGTCCAGCTTTATGCCTGTTTATTCCCAAAATATTTTAGTCCAATTTAGTTAAATTTTTAGTTCCAGCTTCGTTCCCGGTTCGAAGCCCCGCTTAGCTGTCAAAAATATTTTCTTATTTTTTTTCCTGTCCCTTTGTAATTTCGCCGTTCACTTTTCTTTTCTTAAAAATTCCATGTTACCTTTAGCCTCAGAGTCGCGATCTACGGTCCATCAGCAAGGAGGCTCTGCCTTCTTCCCACAATTTATTAGTTTATTAATAAGCCTTGCTTACCAGCAGAAATTCTGGTTCCTATTGAGATTGTAAGTTGAAGACTGCATGAATCCTTTTTTTTTTTTTCCACTTTTCCTTAAGTCACACAATTTTACAAGTAAAAAGCAGGAAGTAGAATGTAGTTGTTCCCCCCCCCTTTTTTTTTTTTTTTTGCAGAGCTGTGTGAGGAGTTCCTCCTCTGGATGCATATTTGACTAATAATCCATTTCGAACATTATCTTGCCTCTTCTCCAAGAAGTTTTTTTCTTGTCCACTGTGACTATGCAATGATACTATGTAGAAATTAAGCAAAGAGAGTGATTGGCCAAAATTATTCATTGAAATTTATAGCTGAATGAAGATTGAATCTGATTATCTCTAATACCTAGTTTCCCCGAAAATAAGACCAGGTCTTATATTAATTTTTGCTCCAAAAGACACATTAGGACTTATTTTCCTGTTAGGGCTTATTTTCAGGGAAATATGGTACTAAATGCATTTCTCTGGCTGATAATCTTAACTGGAGCTTATTTTTAGGGTAGAGTTTATATTACGAGCATCCTGAAAAATCATGCTAGGGTTTATTTTGCAGTTGAGTCTTATTTTCAGGGAAACTACTTCAGCACTAACCTTGAAACCACACTCAACTGAAGTACTTGAACGTGTTGCAATGAAAATGTGCAAGGCCATCTCGTGCCATTGTTTAGTGCCAGATCATTCAGCCACGTGGTCTTATTCTTTTTAGACCTTATTTCTGGAAAATTAAGAATAATTTTGTCACCCTTGTAAAGGCTCAAAATTGACATTTTCCAGTATAGTTCCATTGCTAGTGTTTTCAAAAAAAATTTTTTTTTGTTTAGTCACTAAATCATGTCTGACTCTGCAATCCTATGGACCGGAGCATGCCAGGCTATCCTATCTTCCCATAGCCTTTTGATATTGTCCATGGGAATTTCTTGGCAAGGATATTGGAGTAGGTTGCCATTTCCTTCTCCAGTGGGGCACATTTTGTCAGGCATCTCTACTATGACTTGTCCATCTTAGGTGGCCCTGTGCACGGCTTAGTTCATAGCATTATAGTCTCCACTATACACATATATAGGAGCTTATTTATGGGAAAGTCACATTGATGACAATATTATACTTTAATAGCAATCATAGAAGTGTTGCTGTTTTGTTTTTGTTTCCATTAACGCAAGGTTTGGACTGAGAAAGCCAAAGGAAGAGACACCAGTGATCCATCTGAAGGGAAAAAGCGAAAGCGTCCAGAGGACATTAACAATAAAAAGCAAGAAGGCCAAGAACAAAACTCAGAAGAGGATGTGGGCTCTGCTAAAAAATCCAAAGGATTTAACCAGGCTACCTTTGCAAAACTGTCAACGTTTGCATATAAGCGGAGTTAAACACATATTTTACCTGTTGACATTAGCCTATAATATTAAAACATTTCCAACAGATGGATAAAGACTGTTCCCCTAAGGAAATGTGCTTCTGTTCTGAACATTCAAGAAAAGGAAGTTTGTGGAAACATGGCTATGAAGATATGCAGAATACATGAATATAGAAATGGAGGTTCAACAATACTCTGGAGCAAGGTGACCTATTCTGAAGCTCTGTGAAACATTCTGTTCCTGTACAAGCACATCCTTAATAGTTGTACAGCTGAAGTTATAGCTTATCTACATTGTATAGGATAGTTAGTAACTAATTTGCCTTTATAGGTGTCAAGGTGTTACTGTTGTAACTGTAGAATGGGTTCCAACTGATATATGTTTGTGACTGAAAGCCAGATATTCACTAAATTGCTACTTCAGGTATCACATGCGGTTAGTGCTTTATAGGTCACTAAAGCAAGAGAGGGTAGAATGAAGCATGGAGAGGAGACGTGATTCAGGAGATGAACTGTGGTAACTTGATACCAAGTTCCCGTTTGTTTTCTCCATTTCCTCCATGCCCAGCATATAACAAGGATTGTTATTTTTTCTGCTTTATTGTAAGCTGAACTTAATAATGGAGCCAGCTCATTATTTCGTTGCCATTCAGGTAAAACCCTCTAATGGTTTGTTTCATTCAACTTCCATTCTAGAAAAATCCACAAAGAATGTATTTTAGTTACCTCGGTTCAGATTCCCGCCAGACTGATATCTGCCATATAATTCATATTTCACTCCCAGACAGCATTGTATTCTAGAAGCTACATCAAAGCCCAGTTTGGGGGAGGATCCTAGTCCCTGGGCATTAAAAGATATCCTTTAGTTCTGTGTAGCAAGCTGAAAAATCCCAGGCTCAGACTATTATGCCATTGTTCTCCACGTTTTGCAATGTTTTATTTTTATGTTACTGGTGATTTTAAATAAAGCAAGAACCTTTTTTATTTTGGCTACTGAACACTTTATTTCCATTTTCAACATCTTTCACAGGTAGTCCTCACTTAGGGAATTGAAACAGGCACTCCATTGCTAAGTGTTGCGGTCCCTGGGGAAAAAAATCAATTTCCAATAAGCGCAGTGGCTGCAATGGACTTAACAATATCACTTTCCATTTGGTTGTTAGGTAGGTGAAGGCAGTCATTAAGAAAAAACATTGCATGATGACAAGTTATGATTTTATTTCTATATTCTTCATTAACTGCTTGACACAAGCCAGTTGGGAAGAACAAAAATGGCAGTCAAGTGACTGGGACACTGTGCCAATAGGAAATGTGTGCCAATTGTGAAGTGTCAATAGTAGCAACCATGCAACAGGGATACTCTTGTCATAAATGTGAGGGATTGGTCATAATTTTTTTATACTGTTCCAACTTCAAATGGTCACTAAACAAATTGGTAAACAAGGTCTATCTGCATTGCAACTGCTGCAGAGAACTAAGATGCTAGTTTATGTAATTTATTTCTTTTATCTACATTGCTAGCAGTAATTGTACTTTAGTCATTTCTGAGATCAGGAACATGATAGTCATTTTTCCCCAGACTAATTGTCACTGAAAAAGTTCTCAGATGGTATCTCTCCTCACACTAAGAAAACAGTTGCAAAAATTTTGAAATCCCCCAATTCCTCCAAAACCTTTTAAACCAGCCATATAATGTCTTTACTTCTAGTCACCCGAAAATGCTGAGAATACATTGAGAATGCCAGGTGTTCCATCCACCTGACCCAAAGAATAAGGTAAAAACAGTTCACTAAGTGGGCTGAGGCAAGATTTCAGTACTTACTACTTAACACATATTGCAACCCTCATACCAGGCAAGTTTAAAAAAGGAAATATGAATAGGTAGAGACAGACTAGAAGGCTTAACATGGGATTTAATGACAAGATTGTGAATCTCAGAATTGCTTAAGATTTGAGCCATTTAAATCTGTTAAATAAGATGGTGAAATCTACAAGTTCAAGCAAAGGAAGGCTGAGTGAAGCAAGAAAGTTTTATCAAAGGGGAAATACTAGTCTTATCATCAACCCTGTAGAGCAGGGGTGTCAAACTCGTGACATCATGGTGTCATATGACATATTGGGACTTTTTCCCCCTTCGCTATACCGAGCAGGGGGTGGGGCCAGCATGTGACATATCCAGCCTGAAGGCCGCGAGTTTGACACCCCTGCTGTAGAGCATCCATTTTGCAATTTTAGCTATGCTAGAACACGAAAAAACATCAGATGGGCTGCACAGAGAGGAAAACATGGAAATTCAGCAGCCTGTGTGCTCGATAAGAGTGAAAATGTCACACAAATGTGCTCTTACAATGCTCTCAAAGTAATAATGCCATGTGAACCACAATTATAGCACAGAATTTTTGTTTATTTTGTTTTCTTGTTTTATTTATTGGTTATATATAGTTATTGTAAGCTTCCCAGAGTTATTTAAGATTAGGCATATAAATCTTTTAAATAAATAAAGCTAAATGGGAACCTTGAATTTAACAAAATAGAAATACAGAGCAAATAACCTGCAGTAAAAGAGTTCAGCAACATATCTTCATGTATGAGAAAAGCATTTTTGGATTTTTCAAGCAGGAACTGGAAAGATTCTCTTAAGTATTGGACAGCCACAGCTAAATCATGGTGGAGTACATGCATTAATCAGTACTTCAACTCAACATGGCAGTTTTCGACTGATACACGAACTGCAACCAATACAGCTTTATAAATTTCTTTTGAGAAGCAGTTTGGGAATATTCTGTTTCTTCTTTTTTGCATCATTAAATCAGGAGATGCGTATTTGGTCAAATGAATAATGAGTAATATACATGTAAAAAGATTTATTATTAGATTATCCTGCCTTTATAAGTAACACAAGGTCATGAATATACATAATTCTCCTTCCTCTTCCTCTTTTTCCCCACAACTTTGTGAGGTGGCTTGGGCTGAGAGAGAGTGACTGCCTCAATCACCTAGCCAGCCTGTGAGAGGACGAGAACTCACAATTTCCTGGTAATTCGCCCAATGTCGCCCAGCCAGTTTTCGGGCCTAAGGAGGAACTAGAATTGACAGTGCTGGTTTCTAGGCCAACACCTAAACCACTACAACACACCGGTGTAAGATATTACTTTTAGCACAGATAAGTGGGAATATAGATTTCTGCCTGAGCCTTAATTGGTAGTTCTGCCAATCTAGATAGGCTTTAATGTTACAGTGGAAATCAACACCTTTTTCTTCCTGAGCTAGCATCTTAGTCTAGTATTTTTGAATGCTGAAAGGCTCCATTCTTGTGGAACATCACTTTCACCTAATCAATAATATCCAACAGCAATTTCTGCTGGACTGAGGTAATCTACGCATTTGTTATAAACAGTGTATTGAAGTATAAATCACTTCATCAATACCAAAATAATTTGTCCAAATATAAACAAATAGGGAAATGCATGAACATAGTGAGATGGATCCATAAATTGAAAAGCAGGCCTTTCTTTTTTTATATTTCTCTTCTTTTTTCTTTATTCAGATGAATTTCAAAAGATGGTTGTTTTAAAAAAGCAGGAGTCCTTTAGTAAAACTGAATAGGCTCTATGCCAGAAATGTTAAATTCCAATTTCACCTGTACTATAAATGACTTACTTAAGGCCACTGTTGTGCCTGCTGCAAATTGTCTGGAATCAAATATCTCACCATGGTAATATAAAGGTTACTGTGATGATTACAGATGAATACTTTCTGTTAAAGCAATATACAAGTATAAACATTTTTGTAGCCAACTGAAATATTCAGTTGGGAGTGGAATTCTGGTCTTCATTAAAACTATATCAACGTTCATGATCAGTGATGGAATTCAAATGTTTTTACTACCGGTTCTGTGGGCGTGGCTTATTTGGTGGGCATGGCTTAGTGGTCATGTGACTGGGTGGGTATGGCTTAGTGGTCATGTGACTGGGTGGACGTGGCCAACTCAATGTCACTCACATCAAGGGGTGCCTTACCTGGCGCCTCCCATTCCAGCCATTCCTTGTCACCCAGCCTCAACTTATCTATAGTTCTGTAAAAATGTTGTTCACCCTTTTTGATTTTATTATCTGCATACTATAGATGTACTTTCATGGACCACTGAAAGGAGGAAATGGCTCACATGCTTTACTCAGGAATGTGATATAGGCAACAGGCTTTTAAGGGGCTGCCACAAAGAAAGTGGGGGGATGTATTTTCCAAAGCACCAGGAGGCAAACAAGAACAATGGATGGAAACTGAACAAAGAGAGAAGCAACCTAAAACTAAGGACAAACTTTCGGACAGTGAGAACAATTAACCAGTGGACCTGCTTGTCTCCAGAAGCTCTGGGTGATCAATCACTGGAAATTTTTAAAAGACTGGACAGCCATTTCTCTGAAATGGTATAGGGTTCCCCGAAAAGTCCCTTCTAAGTGTCAATCTGACACCTTTCCCAGGACTTCTGCTCAGAGTTTGGCATCCTCAGTTTTCCTGCCTGAGCAGGGGCTTGGACTAGAAGACCTCCAAAGTCCCTTTCAACTCTGTTAAATACACATGTATTTATGCTCTGGACTATAGACATTGAATGCATGTAAACCCTGAAAAATTTGTGATAGCCCTGGGCAAAAGAAAGGCAGTAGAATCACTCTAGGTGTAGGGACAGTGTAAAATATTAACACATGATAAATAATGGAACAATTAAAAATAATAGCACGGAGTTTTCTCGGTCTCTCTCTCCCTTCCTATTTCTTTCTCTTTCTTTCTCTTTCTTTGTCTTTTTCTGTCTTTCTCTCCCTTCCTTTCTTTTTTTTTTTCTCTCTCTCTCTCTCTCACACACACACCCCTGTCATCCTTCATACCCTCTCACTCCAGGCACCTTACTCACAAGGGGAAGTGAATCCAGCATTAGAGAAGTTCTGCAGGTAAATGGACTTGCCTTTGAAGCTCCTGCAAACTTCCCCATGGCTGGATTTCCCTCTCCTCCCCCAGCGTTCTTTCCCTCTCGCTCCAGGCACTTTACTCACAAGGGGAAGCAATACTTCTAGTGTCCATGAAGAATCCAGCCTTGGAACAGTTTTGCAGGTTAACGGACCGCTGTTCTGCCCACAGTCGTGTGTTTTCAAGTGGTTGCTTGAAAATGCATGGCTAGGGCGGGGGAGCAGTCCTCCTTTAAACTGGGGCAGCAAGCATCGGGTGGGCGGGGCGAGTGAGCAGAAACTGGGTGACCGGGTTGGGGGCGTGGCCAGCTAGATGTTGCTACTG